TATTCACGGTTAACGTTCAGTGAGAGAAGCAGGCAGCGTAATGTTTTATTTCTGTGAATGAATCGTCGGTCTCGTATTGCGTGCATGCACGAGAAAAGGACACACAACGGATAGAAAATCTACGCCGCGCACGAAATGCAAAAATGGGGAAAATGTGTTTACACACACCATAAACGAATGAACGCACGGACGGACGGGCAAAGAGAATGAAGCGGTCGTGTGTGTGTGTGTGTGTTTGTGTGAGAGAGAGTAAAAGAAAAGCGGTGAAATTTACGTCAATCCATTTCGTAGTGGTGTAGTTGTGCTGGAGAACATCATTAGTTGATGTGATACTGCAAACGGCAGTCGCAAAACATATTTATAATTCAACCCCATTCACATTGGGCCAACACGAAATGATATGGCATGGCAATGGATATAAGTAAGGGAGAAAAAAAAACAACAACAGCACATCCCAATGTCTGTTGCCGCCGTCGGTGTTGTTGTTGTTGTCGCCATTTCTGCTGCTGCTGCTCCAAAGCGTGTTCAATCGATTTCACCATAAGAGATTTTCCCTTTCGTTTCATCCATATTTCTTGTTTTGGCCGTTATCGTGAATCGCAATTTTTTAGGTCTATGTGAAACGTTCATGTGTCACACAATCCTGAAATATGCTTTCAAATGGCTATGATGCTACTGCTACGGCTGTAAGGACGAGCTATAGCTCAAGATATTTTCGGTTATCTATTCGTTGTCGTCACTGTGCCTTGGTGAAAATGGAAATTATTCGTATGCGTATTTTACTCTCTATCTCTTTTTCTCCACCTCTTTTCTCTTCTGGATTACATTTTATATATAAACACATTGTGTATACGTTTGAACGGCATACACACAACAACAACCATTGACACATTAGCAGCCAACGGAACATTGTTGCTAACGTTAACGATTCCGAGCTGCAGAAACATGTTTAATCCATTGTACAATGGAAAAAAAAGCTTAGCGCCTACACAAGTCAGCTTCCTCACCTTCATCAATCTAGATAACACAAATATAGTCAACAAGGAGCTGTTGTGTATGTACGCGAGCGCTCAACAACGACGGAAATATATGCGTTGTGAAGTTGTAAACGACGTCTTTGTGCGTTTGTTTTGGAGTTCAAGGCACGTGTACTCGGGTGGTTTATCCCCGCATCTTCCTTCTCCTCTTCTTCTGCCTATCGCTTCCAATTTTTTCTTCTCTTCTTCGTTTATTGTTTGATGAAAATTCGGATATTCGGTACGGCTGTTATAATACGACTCAAACGCAATGAGAATTGACTGAGTTGTACACCGCAGGGAATTGAAAGTAATTATGAATTTGTTATGTGTATATTCGCTTACTTTGACTTCGCGTTGGTTTCATTGTGAAATTGAGACGATTTCTCTCTCTCTCTCTCTCTATCTCTGGCTCGCTCGCTGCCAACATCCTCATTTGCAATTGATTTCATTTTATTTTTTCATTCTCTCTTTCATTTGACAAATCTCGAGCAGGCAATTTTTTTCTTCTTCTTTGCACCGGAAATAAGTTTTCGTTCTTTCGGGCGACCATTCGGAGGAGTAAGTGAGAATAAATTCGATACTTTTGTCGCAATCATTCCACACATTTTCGGTATTGTGCTTGATAAAATTAAATGGTTTATGTGACTGTTTACGCTTAAAAATGCCATGAACGAACGAAGTATTGCTCCAAATGACACACCGACGTCGCAACGAAATACGATTAAATGGTATTCCACTGTGATTTTTCAAACGGATCTCAAACTTTTCCACATGTGTAAGCAAACGGTTCATGCCATTTTTTGAGGTAACATTTTTCCATTTTCATCACATTTTCTCTGCCTGGCTCTCCCTCTCTCTCTCTCTCGCTTCGTTTCACTCACTTACCGCCGTCTTGTCGATTTATTTCTGACTTTTCATTCTTAAGGCATCAGAGAGAGAGAGAGAGAGAGAGAGAGAGAGCGATTAACAGTTGACCTAGAGAAAAAAAGTTTATTTTCTATTTAGAAAACGTTTTGGAATTTATTTGGTTTTTCTGTCTTTTTCGATACGAATATATTCGAATATATATCGTCACAAAATTCGAAGAATCGAAATGATTCTTAGAAGAATGGAGAGCGAAAGAGAGAGAGAGAAACGCAACGACGCAAAACATTGATGGAAACCTTTGCATTGTCGAGTGAATATCCATTTTACGACTCACTTGTCAAATAGGCAACATCAATTCCGAAGTTAAGCCAAGAACTGGGCGAAAGAAAGAGAAAGAAAAAAATAGCATCCATACGAAAATGCTTTGATTGACAACGAATTGAATTGCACAATCAATTGCAAAAGAAGGCAGAAAAAGGAGAGTCGGAGAGTAAACTGAGAACGAAAACAGTTCGACAGCAACGAAGGGAAAGATTTCAATCACGTGTTTTGCTTGTCAAGTAAAACGATACAGAGAAAGACCGAACGGCGGCGTTAGAACGAAAAGATAAGTGAAGTGTTTCAAAAACTAATCAAAAAGGATCACAGCATGTAAATACGAGAGCTACGGAGGAGCAATATATTGGTTTCAAGGCAGCCGCCTACACACGCAAACACACACAATCTGGACAACACATTCGGACGCATTGTTTGACATTCATCTCGTCCTATACGGAGATGTATTTTATACTGACAAACACATTTGTATCTGTTTCCAAGAAGAAAATATGCGTTGCTTAGATACTTAGACGCATCGTTTCGCCTTTTCGGTATTTTTTTTGGAGTAGCAAGCAAATCGGATGAATTTTAAACGAGTAAAATGAATACCAATGAATTGATCGAGTATTTTAGTTGTGTGTATTCACCCGGGCCTGTCTTTCGATTAATCATTTGACCAGCGTTTACCTTGTCGCCTGAGGACACAAAGACCGTTGTTAGTAGGCTTCTGAATCAATCAGCAGTAGGTCCAGAAATGTTGATTTTTTGTTCGTACATTATTTATATTGCACCTAATCACTCTATCCATGAAAAAGTCAACCTCAATTCAGTTCCGAATGAAAAAAAAACAGTCAAATGAAGAAAGTTGTGAGAGAGAAAAAAGCAACGTAACGATAACAACTAAAAATGGTTGAAAACTTCCAACATAATTTCTCATTTCGTTTCTTGTTTGGCCTTTTAAAGTTGGGAAATTCCAAGCGATTCTTTATTGCAGGCAAAAGCTTTTGCCGGCTTTGAGGAAGCCACATAAATCAAATTATTTAATATATGAAATATATCTGCAGTGAATGCAGTGTTGCACTGACACTCACACACTCACATACGGTGCGCGCAAAGTCATCAGATTTTGTCGGGGCACTTGAAAGAAATCTATGGTAGTAGTGTAGTTTTGGTTTCAATCTCTCTGTGTGCATTTTTTCTTCTTCGTCGTTTCAATTCAGGTTGAAATGTACGTACGTATGATTTCCAATTCGCAAAGTATTTAAAAGGTATTTAAAGTTAAAATGTGTGGAAAATGGAGAGCCAACGTAAGAAGTGAGAGGGAGAAAAAAAAACTCACACAAATTGTGCGAATTTAGTCAGTGAGAGCCATTAAAAATGATCTTCAAATGCCCTTAATAGAAGTAAAATTCGAATCAGCGTTTTCAGTGCAAACGACCAAGTGAGAGAAAAAAAAAACTGAAATCAACGGCAACAATAGCGGAGCGAGTACATTTGAAAAAGTCCAAAGCCATATAAAATTGTGCGTATCGAAGCACCGAAGAATATATCAATTTTTATTTCTGGATCATATTAACTTCTCTTCTTGTTGTTCGTATGTGTCATCATTTTGACCAGTGTGACACTCAGGCGAGTGAGTGTGAGCTGAGAAGACAATATGCTGAAGAGCTATATGTCGCGCACGCTACACACAACAAAACTAATGATTCGCATTGCATACGGATAATTCTCGTCTTCTTCTTTTTTTTATATAACGCCCGATGATATATAGTATAATGTAACATCCAATATTGAGTGCTTTCAGAGAGTTTTGCCTTTGTTTTTTTTTCTTCGCTTTTCTCGTTTCATTCTTGTTTTTGTTGTCTCTTTTTTGTGCTGTTTATTCTCGTTTTTATCGTTGGTGCTGTTGCTGCTGTTGCCTTTGTCCGTTGCGTCTTGTTGCCGTCGATACGAAAATGTACACACGATAGTACGCTGCTGAGTTACACACATCGTTCATATCTTCATATTTCGTTTGTTTCTTCTTCTTGTTGTTGTTGTTGGTCTTGTTTTTTTTCACTTCTCTCTTTCATTCTTTCTTTTTTTTATTCTGGCTGTTTCCCTTGTTCTCTTCTTTCTCTCATACTTTGTCTTCGTTTTCTTCGGAATACTATTTATATGTTATTTCTGCTATGCCTTGTTCTTTACGCTCTGTAGCAAAATAATACCGATTATGTATAGCAAAAGGTAGTCACTTAAAGAATTGGTGTGTTGGTACGATATTGGCTCGGTCGGTTCGGTTCGGTTCGGATCGCACTGTGCTTGTGTCAAGTGTATGTACGACACAAATCAGAAAAGTTCTGCTTTAGGTTTTCTGCGGTTGTTGTTGTTGCTGTCGCTGCTGCTGCTGCTGCTGCTGCCGCTGCCGCTGCTCTTGCTGTTGCTTCTTCTTATTCATTTTTTTTTCCATTTCATTTTTATTTACGATGACTTTGGGTCCGTGCGTTTCCATTCTCGGTTTCGTGTAGTAAAGTCTCTCTGTTTATCGTGTGCAACATATGTGTTTGTACGAGAGAGTGACGACAGTGGTGGTGGTGGTGATGTTGGTGCCGCTGTTGCTGTTGCTCGTGAGAGATTCATAGTAAATTGCGGTAGACATTGCCGGATAATGTGTCCACATGAGAACGATTACGTTACACAACGCGAACACAAAGCGGAGAAAGAGACCCGAACGAACGAACGAATGAGAACGAGATGGATTTCGAGTGAGTGGTCGGTCGGTTGCCGCCGCACGCGATCTACTCCGATTTGTGTATGGTGTGTGTGTGTGTGTGTGTGTGTGTGTGTGACTGTGTTTGATGCGTCGCACGCTGTCGGAATGTAAAACCGAATTGCATTGGTGTGTTTTGACTCCTCGTCAATCGTTCAGCTGGTGTATGCGTTTCAGTTGAGTTTTGAACGTTCAACAATAAGTTTCGGTCGATCGATGTTCGCCGGCTATCGATTGTAATCGCTCTCGTCATTGAGACTGTTTCTCTCTTTCTCGTTTCGCCGATTCGTATTTCGCCGATTTTATTGTGCATTCATTAGCTGGTGATTTAAAATGAATTGAACTATATATGCAAAATTAAAGCATAGAAAAAAGAAACAAAATCATATCAAATCCAGTTCAACAGGAATGAAAATTCATTCAGATTTTGCAACAAGAAAAAAAATGAAATAAATTAATAAATAAGATTAGATTTTGAATGTGTCGACAGTCAATTGGAGCTTCATTATAAAAATTCCATCGATAACGGATTTTTTTCTATCCAAAGTGCTGACTGAATAATTATGAAAATAAAATTAAAAAAAAAACAATTTTTCCACTCGACAAAAAAAGAAGAAATAATAGAAAATAAAAAAAAACTTCAAGAATATTTCAACTGCACGAAATAGTCATTTGGCACCGAAATCAATGCTTGGTTTAAATTAATGAACAAACAAATATGGAAATTGCCATCTCTCAAACAAACTGCAGATGCAATTAAAAACCCAAAATTTATTACAAACAGTGTTTTTTTGTGTGAGTGTGACAACAACGCAGCAGCAGCAGCAGCATCATCAGTAGCAGCCACCACAAATTGAATAAATTTTATTGCCGTCATCCAAGGAACCCATTCATTTCTCTCTAGCCAACAAAATTCGTGCATTTTTTTGTTGTTGTTGTTCATCTCAAAAAGATATAAATTCAACGTAAGTACTAAATCTCTCAGTTAAATCGTTGTGAATGATCTGTTCCAAAGTGTTTTTTATATATAATATGGTTCTCTCTATTCCAATTTTATCACTGCAAAACAAAGAAAAAACTTTTTTGGCATTTTTTGTTTATTTGGTTGAGAAAAAAAAATTAAATTCACCATGAAACTCTTGTGATACACGGTTAACTTTTGTACAATTTTGATTCATTCAATGCAAAAAATGTGAAGCAGCCAAAAAAAAACTCGCCACGATTGGCTTTATCAACATTTAAATCGTCGTTGACAGAGAATGAAATCAAAAATGAGTTGTGAATGGCGTGCTCGCCGACGCGATCACCACTCAATGTGAAAAAAATTAGCAAAAGAGGTAAACGATACACAAACACACGATACTCTGAACAGAATGAGAAGAGTGAGAAAATAAAATGCGCTAGTTAGAATTCGGTGAATGTTTATTTTCCGTGTTATTTCATTCGGAATTTACAGCAAGAGAAACACACACAGAAAAATGCTCAATTTGTTCTGTCGCCGGTCGCTATAATGGAAATGAGGCCGCTTGCTGCTGTCATTGAGTTGTATGCGGCTATTTTAGCTCGTTTTCTTTCATTTGCCGTACACTTTTTCTTTCCATTCCTTTCTCACCCGCCCGCCCGCTCATTCTTTCTTCCAACATGTTGAGCTGTTGTTATTTTTGCGCGAATCGACTTACGAAAATCTATTGAAACACACAGCGTAATAATGTCACAAAATCGTTTCGCGTTCCTTTTGGCACTCTTGTGCATAGCCACATACAAAATATTTATATACACATTTATATTGTATATAAACATACAAATACAACACGTATAGTTTGCTAAACAAATCAAACACTTAAGGAATTCGTTTTCGTTTCATACGATATATTCAAGGTCATGACTTGAGCGAAACAAAAAAAAATTTCATTCTCTCTCTTGCTCTTCTATATACACCACGAAATGCAAGCGAAAAAAAAACACGGCGATTCTCGAATTTGCACACAAAAAAAAAAGAAACGGCACAGAATGGCGAATAAATAAACCAAGAGAGAAAAAAATCGATGAACGATGAGAAAATGAAGAAGAAAAAAAAATCCATCATTATTTTTCCTTTGCCGGTGGTTCTTCTTTATCAACAATTGTTTTTCTCGTTCGGCCGACGAAGGCAGAAAAAACATATTGCATATGCGATTAAGCGCTTGAAACAGGCCTTAACCAAATAATAAAGAAGGAGACGAATAAGGAGGAGAATGGCGAAAAAACAACGACACCAACAAAACAACACACAATCGATATGCGGCCAAATCTAGCCTGTGATTTTAGTATATTGATATTAGTATGCAAGTAGTATATGACACACCATTCAATAAGCGAGAAAATGTTGCTCTTCATCTAGAATATGGTGTGTATTGAAATTCAGTCAGTGACACCATCGCCATCATCGTCGCAACCACCGACGAAATCACGGTTTTCTTTTGGCTGTCGTCAGGTTGGCTTGTATTAGTTGCGTGGTTAAAGCAATTACATAATGCGGTGTATAAAAAAAATATTCGTCACATTGACCCATAGTGCGGCGAGTAATTCGTTTCCATGTGATGATGAATGAGAAAGAACCTAATTCGAAACAATGCCTCTATTTGAAATTTGGAGCCTAAATCTGAGGCGAAAATACAAACAAAATCTAATTTTCTTGAAATGGTGAACTTTTGGTCACGCCAGTTTATTAATAAACAACAAAAAAATGTATGGCCAAATTATGACTTGATCATTTGATAGACTGTTGAATGCGACACATTAGGTGACATCGTCATTTTGTTCTTTTCTTGCCGCAATAAAATGACAATTTGGATTTTCGATCGCAGTGTTTCTTAAGCCATTGTGCCATTAGAATTGTAATCAATCATTTTAAATTTCTACGATTCGGCACGCTCAACGGCTCAAACTCACACAAACACACACATACATACATATAAACGTTCTCTCGCGTGCTTGATACGATCATTACCATGGTTGCTATCGTCATCGTTGTCGTCGATTAAATTATGGGAAATTAATTCATCAAGTGATTAATATTCCATTCAAGTTCCTTGCTGTGTGTGTGTGTTTTCGTTTTAATCTGTTGTTTTTATTTTTGGTCCATTTTCGGGGGGATTTCGTCAACATTTTAAGTAACGGGCGCCATTATATGTACATAGAACGTGCGCGCAATGCCCTCAGACCAACAAAGCACAACAACAACAACAAAAATATATATCAATAAGTTGCGTTGAATAATGAGTCTGTATGTACACTGTACAGTGGATTAAAGACAATTTCTTGTCCAAAAAAAAAAAATTACGATTCTTAGCCGCTTTTGTCGCGGAAACAATTTGTATTGAGCTGAGAGGGCAACGCGCGAGACGAAGGAGCGGCAATTCTGAATTACATACACAATACCCCGAACGACATGCAAGCGCTTTATGAATTGAAAATTATATAATAAAATACCTAAAATGTTAAAATACTCTCTCATTCTCTCTCTCTCTCTCTCTCTCTCGCTCGTTTGCCTGTTTAATCTTTGTGCATATACATTTTTGTAGCGTGTAACGTCGTTCAAGTCAACTGCAAACACCTACTTGATGTGCCGCTGCTGCTGTTGCTGTTTCTGTTGCTGCTGCTATTGCTTGTTTTCAATCGCTGTTTATGTTCTTCACTGTTCGTTCGTGTTCATATTTTTAATTTGACATTATTCGGCTTAGTAACGTGCGCAATAGCCGTATACTTGGCTGTCTCTATTTTTCGCTCATTCAATTGCAATTTATATTCTGTGATGATAGACATTTATAAACTAACCTCTCGCTCTCATTCTCTTGCTCCCTCTCTGTCTCACTCTCCATCTTTCTCTGTCTCTTTCCCCTCTTTCTCTTGACCGTTTTGCGCTCTCGCTCTTTGGTATTCGGTGTGGCTCTCTCGGTCGAGAGTGAGATTGTGATTTATATTTGTGTGCTGCGACATTGTTCCCGTGAATTGAACATTTTTTCACTTGAATCGATGCGGCTGTTATCAACAAGCGCGTGCTAGTCGTGCATCATAGACAGAGTGGCTATATCGGATATACACATTATATAGCACGGTGTGTATCGTCACAAGTGTTTATTCATTCTTCAAACGCTTAATTATCACTTTTATGTTTTGCTTGTCGAATCACAGTGGAGTCGTTTGTGTGATGAGCCTTTGTCAGTCTGTTGACATTCACGGTGTGGAACACGGTCGGTTTGGTTTTGAAAAAATTTCGCCGTTTAATGTATGTGTGTGTGTGTAAAGAGTAATTATCGAAAACCTGTCTATTTTTGGTCGTTTGAAGATATGGCCACTTGAATGTGTGTTTTTTTTAGAGAAAAAGATTATTCTTTGTCATATTACGCGCATCAAATCACGTTCGCACTCATTTCATTGAACAGTAGCAGTTGGTTTTTTTTGACGTTTCGGATTTTTTTTTTCATTCGCTTCAATTTACCGAATTATCAAGATAAATGCTTGAGATTTCTGTGCTATTATGTAATTTTAAGTTTGTTTCCATGGCATCGAGCTCATCTCCATCTCTTGTCGTGTCAGTGTTTCAATTGTTACTGTAACGAAAATCGACTACCGTTGAATTCGTTTTTTTTAATGCCATCGAATCAATCCGATCAAATGCAATTTTCTGCTGTGTTGTGCCCAAGGCAACGCCTACCAAATAACAATCATTTTCATTTTGGGGGATTTTCTTCCGAATTATACAATCGAATATGAAGTGATACTGACGTATCAGCGAGGGTGGAAAGAAATGGCATGCTGTTGATGCCAAGGACGACATGAAATCATGGCCAAACCACATTCATTTTTCGAATCGAATGCTTTTCTCTCTATTTTTACGGCATGTGTCGAGATTCATCACGTGACGAACAAGAGAAATGGAAACTTTCTGCGATGCCGAGAGAAAATAACAGCAGGAATGGTTGGTGTTCATCCGCAATTAAATTCCATTTTGAGAAGTTTCAAATGACTTAATTACTCAACAAGCACGTTTTTCCACCGAATTACATTTCGTCGGAGGTGGAGAGAGGAGAGAACATCTCTTCATTAATTCATTCTCTCTCTCTCTCTCTCTCTCTCGTTTCATCCATTACATCGGCTTAAACGGTACCTTAATGCATGCTTATGCACATAGGATCCAATTATCTTCATCGGCTGCCAATTCTCCTCGGTTCTTAAATTGAAAGTATTACAAATACAAACATTCAAATGGATCATCAAATAGCACTGATTGCCTTCACAACAATGGACTAAGAGATGAAGAAGACGAAACAGGCAAATGGTCAACTCGAAAAAAAAGCCATTTTTCATACAGTTCACCCACTATCTATCTGAATCTCAAAACATAGATTTTGTATCTTTTTCACAAAGCATTGATCGTTGGAAATGGTCCGTTTTTCAGCTGAAAACAGGTTTTTGTTGTTGAAGATAGAAGAAACAGGGAATGTTTGTCCTTTTAAGATGTGATCCATTACGCTAAATCATTTTTTACACTAAATCTTTAATCCATTTTATGGTTCGACATCATCATTTCCCACTCTGCCTCTCTCTATTTCGCTCACTCACACAAAAGCGACCGAGGCAATTTCAAGATGCTGGCAATTTTGTTTTTGACCGTGATTTTCTCTACCTGTTTTATGAGTGCTTTTAGCTAAGGCTCAGGTGTCCGTGCGTAGAATTTGTGTGTGTGTGTCTGTGCACAGAGCGATGACTGTGTAATTATTCATTGAATTGGTAGGTAAAGAATGAGAAACCGGACCAAAGCCGAAGAGAAAAAAATCCGTACCCGAATCCATATCGATATCGAGAAAACTGGCTTTGTATGCGATGGGAACCCTCAAAAATGCCGAAAGAATGATAGTTCACATAATTAGTGATAAATTATAGACGAAGACGAAAGATGGAAGAAAAAATTGCTCGCAGCAAT